TTAAAAAAGGTGCAACCAGTTTTATACATACAGCTTTGGAAACGGAGAAAACGAGGGATGAGATGAACACAATGCGAATTTTTTTTTTTTTGTAAGGGGAAGAAATATAAAGTGAGAGCGGCTGTGTTGTGCCCTAAATGAGTTATCCTTTTTCCTGTCCCATTTTCTGATGATGGCGTCGTTACGTGGTTGGTCCTTCTTTGAGGTGGGATCGGTTAGAAGTGCCCGTGGGGTTATGACAATTTGGCAGCAACATTTTAGCCTTCACTTCACTCGTCACAGCGCCCACACACCAGCCCATTTTTCATTCCCACGCGTTGCACAAACATTCAGGAGGCATTCTTAACAGTGCTAACATTTTAAATTGTAAGACGCATCAATTTCGTGCATCGAAGAGGTGTCCTAGCACGAGCAATATATAGTGTTGTAGAAGTGCGCGCATTATGAGTTTCCACAATAAGTCGATTCTTAGGCGAAAGGGTCCACCCTAGTTATCCTCACTACAACGTCTGCTTAATTTATATTTAAATGGAATTAAAAAAATTGTAAAGTTATTGGGGAGTATTTCATCCCCGCTGTGTTCTGATATTTGCCTTTTTTTTTTTTTTTTTTCTTTACAAGAATGGGTAAAAGACAAAAATGCGAAGTGTGCAGTGTTTAGAAAAAATTCAAATACGAGAGTGTGGACAAATGCATTTTGCGTATTCAGATCAAACGTCATCGATGCATCGAGGGATGCATTTCGCGTTAACAAACGCTTAATCATAACTAAAAAGAAAAAAAATAAAATAAATATCAAAATTTCTGCAAAACGGGTGATGTCCCGTGAGCAAGTAGTCCTCTTATAAAGTGTATCAATCGCTTTCGAGTACATATGGGAGCGCCGTTGGAGGGATATATTTCGGTCCGCATGGGTGTTACCAAACTGATACTACGCTTCTCCAAGAGGTGTAGCTTTTGTTGGGGATAAGTCTGTGTCACAGAAGGGGGATGTTCTTCATATTGTGCAGTTGGTATATAGGTACTCCTCTTTTTTTTTCCCCTCTATCCTTATACACACTTCTTATCGACAATATTTTTCACGCCATACTCTTCGTACTCACTTTTGGTCATACAGAACTGCGGAAACGTACCCAGGGAGGACAAAATGGAAGCACCTATAAAGCAGTTGCACTTCCGATCGGGTCCTTTGCTATAGATAATTTGTGTGCTCTTCTCTTTTATTGTGTCTATAAAAGGTAGGTACGATTTTAGAATTCCAACAAAGTTATGAAACATGGTGGATTCTCCAGTCACTATCAGGAAATTGAGAACTTCATCTAAGTTCATATTTGCAGATATAAAGGATAAAATTCCTTTTTTGATAAAATCTTGTAGACCATCGAATATTTCAAAGTAAGTATCAATTTGCTCTGAGTTGCATATGTTGGCGTTCTTATCAGCTGGGTTGTCTGGTACTCTCTCTACAACTGAACTGCTGACATTAATCCTGTAATTATGTTTGTATAAAACTGGAAGTTTTAACGTTCTTAGCGAATCATAAAATGAGTTAAAGTCCATATTATGTAGTGTTGTCATTCCGGTTAATTTACTTATACTATTTTGGTTGTATTTTTTTTTAAAAAATATGTATGGGAAAATAAGTTTTAACGATTCGCAAGTATTTTGATCTATAATACTACCGTCGGGTAATTTATAACTGGTATTACTCTCATTATTGTCTGCATTTCTTTTATTTTTATCAACCATGGGATGACATTCATTACCTAAGTTTTCTTTTAAATGACTAGCTACATGAAGAGATCCCCAAAGATAATACGATTTTGTAACCAAGGGGCATTTTAAAATTCTAATTTCGTTGCTCTTTTTTTCACTACTTTGACCTTTCTCAATAGTAAAGTAGGGATATATTTTAATATTTTTTACATTTTCTATATAAGCTAGATAAATTCGATCGATTAGGTCCCCTCCTATGGGGACCTCTTCGATGTGTTTTTGAAAGATATATCCTTCTTGTATTCCACACAAATTGGTGCAATTTCGTTCAACGTTGAGAACTAGGCCAGATGTCCTTGCGCATCCATAGCAAGAGAGGACACTTCTTCTGGAGAGGAATAGCTGATATACATTATGCGTCTCGAACATCAATTCTGTAAAATTTTCTCGATACAGCCTATCTGTTTTGTTTGGCTCTGTTAACAAAATGGGATGGTCTTGAAAATTATCATCCAATGCTTTACTCCCTGATATGTCTTCCAGAAGTTTTTCCATTACGTCAAAATTGATGTCGTACTTGCTGCTATTATTATCATCATATATGTATTTCATACCGTATAGCAGTTCCACGTTATCTCTTTTTATTTCTGGTAATAAAGGGAAAATTGTATGTTTTAGGGTAGCGTTGTGACCTACCGGTAACCCTAGGATTAAGTTAGAATTGTATCTGGGTGAGCACTCACCCGAGTACCCTGCCCGCATCTCCCCATCGTTCACATCTAAAATTATGGTTTGTATGTTCTGAAACATTTTTTGGAACGCACAGGAAGGAGTGCGGAGGGGGTGGGGAAAAAAAAAGAGGTGCTACCCCCCTTTGCTTTCCTCTATCTTTCTTGTGCCAATTTTTTCCCCTTTGACTGCCCCTCTGCACAATTCCCCTCACCAGTGTGCGGACTACTAAGCGGCGGGGTAGGGGGAAATAATCACTTCGGTGGTCTCAATGTTGTTATTAATTGTGCCTTTTCTACAGCATTGGAAAGTAGTCACCTGATGATTTTGCCTTTCGCATATGTTGTAACTTCTTAGGATTCGTTTCCCCGGGTTATGTTTATTCATCGATGATTCCTTGCGCTGTGGTTTACACTTTTTCATTCCTACGCGGAGACAATTGTAGGTTCTAACATTCATGTTCGCTTTTGTGCGAACGCAGGGTGGCTATCCCTCTACGCATAAAATGGCGTTGGCGTCATGGCGACGCATCAGATGCTACTTCACGTCGCCTCCCCAGGTGAACACGATTTCAGTGCGAACATGTATTTATCACTAGTACTACTGTTGCTACTACTGCTAATGGTACTACTGATGCTACTACTAATACTACTACTATTGTTGTCACTTATCAATTGTGAGTAATTAATAAACACGCTTGACGGAGTTTCGTCCCCCTCGGTTTAGCGGCGCGAACGCAGGCATATTTCGGGGTTGAAAATCCATGCACTGCTGGCACTACACTTTGTTGTTTTTTCCCATTTGTTGAGTGCGGTTCGCGGGGTGGGAGAATAGGGGCAGTCCCTTCCAATTGCTTCCGAAAAATGGTAAAGAATTGGCAGCCCGCGGTAATCGTTTGCGTACTCACAAAAACAAAATATAATCATTTACGCATTCACCTAATCGTATGCATAAGATAGCCCTTCCGTGGAGACTTACATAATGAAACATTTAATTCTCCAATTATGCCAACCCTTCTTTCGCTTTTTTTTTTCGACTAAGCTAGCTATACACTCTGTTACCAGCTTGTGGAAAACATAACACCACAATCTCTTTGTTTGTATTGATTATGTTCTAAACGGCTTTTCGTCCCATTTTTCGTTTGATGAATCGATTTGAGGACGTCCTATGCAATGTTCACCGAGTTGCTCCCTTTTTTGGGGGGCCTGCAAGCTGAAGCTTAAGTGTAGATTGTGTTAACCGCGCACGTGTATTGCGTGTATTAACTGCACTAGTGGCATAGCATAAAGGGTTGTTGAAATTAAAATCATTTTTTGCAAAATCTTTAACGCTGGTGTTGTGCTCAGGGGGGAAGCCTTCTGCACGTCTCCCTCTTTTGGAAGCATGTTCATGGAGGGTCCACTGGCAATTCCGTTCTATCGTACAAATTTTTTCGCAATTTTGCAAAACGGATGTAGCATAATTTTGCCTCCACGTATATATAATTATGTGTGCGTACATTTCCATACGTGTGTATTTTAGCCGACTGTAAGATTGGAAGCATACCGTTCTGTTTCTTTTCGATTCCATCGTTATTTTCTCGTTGTGTGCCAAAGAGGTGAAAATCCATTTTTTCCCCATCCCTCTAATTTTGTAAAACGCCCAAACAGGTATCATATGGGAGTAATTTTGTGCTCAATTTTGAAAGATTGTCCATTTTTCTGGTAAGTCCCAGTGGGTAATTACTTGAGGTGAGTCTCAGTACGATGGTGTTAGGGTTCATTTATCCTTCACCTTTTGTTTAGGCCACATATATGGTATTTTAAGCGCAAAATGGAACTTCAGCTCGGGTTTTAATTTCTCGCATTTTCAACAACTGTGTTCATTTTAATGTTTCTCTGGAAGGATAATTCAGCAGCAACGACGGGGAGGTGTCACTCTTTTGGAAAACTCGCAATACTAGGAACCTCGTGGTGATTATTTTTCCCTTGTTACGAATGGTCCAAATGTTTTCTCCCCTTTTTCTGAGGAGTTAATTGAACCAAGTCGGAGAAGAAAAAATAAAAAATGGAAAAACTTCCCACTTGTTCTTCAAGATGCAGAAATGTGTACATACATAAGAGGTGGTGTAATTTTGCGATTCGCGGGCTGCTTAAGGTCGTAACCATCTATGAAAGGGGGGAAAATAATACCGTTTTATAAAATATTATCACCTTTTGGGAACAACGTTATAACATGAAAAAGGATGTTTCTATGTTGTCTTTGTTGTCCTTGTCTCGCATCATAATTCACAGCACTATAGCATTGCGTAATTTTATTTTTTCAGTTTCCTTTGCCCTTAAGGGATATGTAACTGTTTATTCATTTGGCTTTTTGTTTGTCCGCTGTTGTCCATACAATTTTTTTCTGTTTACTCTTTAAAGGGAATTGCACTGCACTAGCTCAGAGAAGTGTGAAGATTGGCCATTTTCTCCCCCACAAGACGGTCACACATATATATGTACAGATATACAAACTCTTGACTCATTCACACATATTTTAGCGACTTCCTTAATAGTATCAGAAATCCAGCCCAAATGAAAAAAGTGGGAGTTGTGCTGTTCGTCCTTTTTATCAAAGAAATAATCTCGTTGAAAATATGTTCGAGGAAAAAATACCCTAACGTGGAAAACGGGGTGTACCAGCTGGACAATCGAGGGAGGCCGATCAAAATTGTGGATGTGAATTACCACCATGTGTGGGAACTACCAAAGGGGGGAAGTGTTAATTCTTACACAGTTGTTAAAAAGAATGGAAAGGTTAAAAAGTTTAGCGAAGGAACAAACATAATTTATGGAACTACAAAGAAGGTCAACTGGGGACGGGGCAGTGAAGAGGAAGAAGAAGAGGAGGAGGTTGATGATGAAAATAAAATAAAAAAAGAAATTGCAAAGAGGAAAAAATTGAACAATATAAAAAATGTGTCTAATGTAGCTAAAAATGAAAAAGATGTGGAACAAAAAGAAAGAGAAAAAAAAAAACTGCAGGTGCCTCGTGCTATGCATATAACAGCGGAAGATGTCCCGGAGGAAAAACAGGCGAACGAAGAAGAGGGGTAATATGAATTTTTGAGAATTTCAGAAAAAGGAATTTCTAATCATTTGATGACAAATGTTTACTTACGAGTGAACATGAGTGTGCATAGTCTGTGAGATGAGGGAAGAGATTCGCAAGGCGGACAACGCGCAGCTCCCTCTCCTGCAACAACACAGGAAGGAAGTTCTTACAATGTGCAGAACAGATTATCCTATAGTTTAAAAAAAAATGTGCTCCCTTTTTTTTTTATACTTTTTCGTTATCATTATTTTTCTTTTTACCATTTTGAAGATATGGCAGTATAGCAAAAGAATTAGGAGGTACACAAAGGGGGCACCAAATATTTCAGGGGGAATAATAAACGCCCGTGATTACAAATGTTTGCGTGTCTATTCGTTTATCTGTTCTACAGGACGCGCAGTGACATTTCTAATGCTGATTGCTTTGTGAATTGCTCTATTCTACCTCATGTTTTTTCATCCCATTTTATTCACTTTTTGTTTGCAGCTAAGATAAAGGAAAATTTGGAGAGGTTATTCATCAGAGGAAGAAAACAAAATGAGAGACAGAAATCTGAGAAAAAAAAAAGATAAATTTACACACATGTGTAACGATTCGATTGAGTTACGCTGGACAGTATATCGTTGTATCCTTCCCCTTTTCAGCCACTACGAGGAAAGCAAAGCCCCATCTTCCTTGAGTGCCGATTTGTTAGATGTTAAAATTCCCACAAGTTTGGAAAAATTGTTGATGGACGATTTGGAAGAGGGGAAATGGCTCTCTAAAAAGCCCGTTAACGATAAAATATGTTTGCGGGACTACTCCAAACAATGTCCTTCTCTATGGGAGAAAGTATCCGAAACGCAGTGCATCTCGCCCAAGTGAGGAGAAAATGAGATGGGGCAACAAAGGACATGTGTGATTGCGCGTACACATTTGTGTTATGAAGAAGGAAAAAATTGCCACATTCGGTACATATATATGATATATCCATGTTTTAACTATCACTTTTTCCCTCCTTTTCCGTGAAAGGGACTACGCGGGGCCCTGCTCGCACCTGATGACTTTTGAACCCATGAGCGCAAAGGAGAAAAGTCTCATAGGAACGGACTGTAAAGGTGAATCACGAAAAGTGAAGACTCTGAAATTTGCACATATATTGGTAAAATGTTACTCGTATTGATGATCTTTTTCTTTTCTCTTTTTATTGAAGTGAATTGGCTGTGCCTTAATGAGTTGTGCGGGAATAGCGGAAGGGATTACTCAAAGGACTGTCCAGAAAATTGGACTTACACGGGAAAATGCGAGGCACCAGAGTAGGCTTAAAAAAGGAAAAGGAAAAAAATACATGGGGAGAAACAAATATGATAGCAGTTACTACAGTTGATATAGATGCCAATGAATGTCGCATTTATTTTTGTTTTTCCCCTTTTTTGAAGAAACTATTCCGGAGGATGCAACAAGACAATGGTAAACGGATTGGCTGCTTTCGCGCATGTAGAAATGTGAACTATTGGTTCCTGAAGCCTCACTGATGTGGACATATAAATTCTGTGTTGAATTGCCACTCGTTTGCAGGATTTTGGGGCCTTCACAAAAAAGGAGAAGGAGGAGTTTTCTTCCGGTACCTTCAAGATTCTATAAAATGGGGGAACACATGGGATCCTTCTCTGTGCTTAGTGCTGTGTTTTATAGGGTTACATTTTTTTTTTTAATTTTCTAATTTCCTCATTTTTTTGCAGCTTGTAAAGTGGTAAGCTAGGAGTTCCCCAACTGATAAAGATGATACACGTAGAACAGATTTATGTGCCAAGGGGGGAGAAAAAGAACTATTCACCAAAATGCCCTACACAATTTTGAAAATATCTATATGAGGAATTCTTTTTTTTAACTATTTTGAATACGAATGCATAGGTGTGGCCTTGCAAAGAGGAATCATGCGGTGAGTTTGTTCGAAGGGGAAACTAAAAATAGCTCCCCTGTGTGTACAAATCTACACACTGTGAGAATTGCAGTGTTTGTTACAAATGGAATCTGCGCTAAAGGGGTAGCACTCCACAGATGGATTCATAGAAACAGGGGGAGGTGCCAAAATGATGCTTAATTTAAAAAATTCATTTTTATTTCCCTATTCCCACCCGCTTTTGCAGAGAGGGATTACTCAATAACATGTCCTAAAGGTTAAACAAGGGAAAGAATCCAAATAATAATTTGGCGGAATTAAATGCATCGAAAATTCCCCATTTTTATCTCTTTCCGAAAAACGACATGCATGAATTTACGGCAGGTTGGCCCTACAATGCGAGCAAGGATACCTGTTGCAGTAGCCACGGTTTCGAAGGGCTGGTTTCGAAGGAGGAAATGGAAGCCATAAGCAACATGTCTTACCACGTAAGGATGAAATGGAGTGCACAAATCGAGTTTGAAATGTACTAATGTTGTAATGGTCTTAGCTGGGAAAATTCCCACCTTTGCTAAACACTCACCCAAAATGGACAATTCTGATAACGCTGCCATGCCGAAGGACACAATACAACGCGACGACAATACAACCTCGCCAACCTTCGTAGCAAAGAGTAGCCTTTTCCACGAAGTACGGAATCGTCTGGCCATGCAAGAACAACTGCACCCTTGGCTACGACCTATATGACTGCCCCCGAGGATGGATCAACTTGATGAATTCAGGAGTTTGTAAAGCCCCAGATGATTACATCCCCCCAAGGGGCTGTCCTCGTATAACCCATTTTGACTATATGAGCATAAATGAAAAGGAGGCATTTAGCAGGAAGTGCCATGTTAAGTGGCTATGCGTTGAAAATTCACAAAGAGATTATTCCAAATGTCCCAAATATTTTGACTACGGAGAGGAGGGAAATGATAAAGGGTTGTGTATTCCAAATGAGAAATATAAAGGGCCATGTAAAGATGCCCAAGATATACTCTCGTTAAGTCTGGAGCAAAAATATAACTTCGAAGAAACTTGTGAAGCTCAGTTTCGTAATATGAGGAGCGAAGATATTCCTCAAGCGAATGAGGATGTTATCGACCCCACTACGATGGAAAAACTACTAAAGGGAGCAGACACCACAGATAAGGGAATTACCTTGGAGTAGTTTCTACGAGTATGCACAGATAAATTCGTATGGGTACACACACATGTACGTGTGGACATATTCAATTGGGAGTTCCCTTTTTTGAGTTAATTTAAAAAAGTTAACATATTTTTTACATTAATTTCATTGAAAGTACAAAAAAGGGAAGTAAAAAGGGGGACAAGCGAAACAGAAGTGATACACACAAAAAAAAAAGAAAAGAAAAAGGACAAAAGAACAAAGGAACCATGTTGGGGAAAACATAATGCCACTACAAAGTTCGCTTTTAACTCAAATTGAAGCAAATGACGAAACGTAGTTCATTGGTAAACGTGCGTTAATACGCATTCTTTTGCGGCTGTAGCAGCCGGTGGAAACATTTAAACCTTCCAAAATGGTTTATTCTGATAGGCTATGAAAAAAGTCATTTTTTTCTTGATAGAAACAGCTTTCGCGTTATGTTAATCTGGTTTGAAGCGTTAGCCTGGAAGAGAACCCACGTTTCGGCTTCATTTGTTTTAGAAACTTATGTGTTCCTCCAAAAGGGGAATATTTAAGAGTTTTTTTTTTGGCAGAAAATAAAAAGAGTAAAACATGGTCATATGTTAGTCTCTTTATATGTCAACCGATTTGTGTGAAGTTTAATTATTTCCCTTTCTTTACGATCCACCCCCTTTGTGTGGCAGCCTTTTGCGCTACGTCTGAACCCGCTTTACTTTACATGTCATTCAAGGGGGGAAGCATCCTTCTGGGGGGTAAAATAATTTTCCCAATTTTGCCTATTCCGTAAATATATTCGGAGCAGAAGGAAAACGGTTTTCCCCATGTGGCTTCACTTTTTCGCTCGCTCCAAATTTGGGAGAATCGTTTTCCTATACTTCAGGGATAACTCCAAGACCTTTTTGTGAACCCTTTCTCTGAGATTTTCATCCGGTATGTGCTCAAGAATTTCATTAACAAAGGCTTTCATCATCATTTGTCTGGCAATTTTTTCAGTTATTCCTCTTGTCATTAAAGAGAAAATGGGTTCTTCCTCTAAATCGCTAATAGTTGCTCCATGATTTGCACATTCAATATCACTTGGAATAATTTCCAGAGTTGGTATGGCAACGGCACTGGCTCCTAAATTTAGTAGTACGGATCTGCAGAGGGTGTTTAACTTGGCCTTTATTGCATCTCGTTCAATTCGACCTCTGCTTCTCCAAACGGCATGGCCTTTATCAGATACTAGAAATTTGAACAATTGGTTTGTTTCCATATTAGGGTGTTCATGATGAAACATTTCATACTGACTAATATTTTGTTTGTCCTCTAGCAAAGATAATCCGTAACTTTCTTGTTTACATCCTTTTTCACCTTCAATTTGTAAATTGACTCTTGATGAGAGGCTACCCAGGAGTACATCTGCGAATTTATAATTTGCCTCGAATCCATTTTTTACTGAAACGTTGTGAAAGTACCACACATTTTTACCTAATTCTTGAGATAAGGTGTGCTTGACATTTGATTTTTCTTCCATGGCGATTCTAGAGAATGCGTTTACGAGGCCTCCGTTATTCTGATTTAACGATATGTGCGATTCGTGGATGTTTATTTTGCTATTACCTTTGACGTAAACGACGAGTCTTGGGGTTGTCACTGGGTTGTGCATATAATTGGTTAGTTCCTTTTGTGTGTATTTTTTTTCTCTTTCTAGAATTTGCTGTGTTTTTTCTTCTTCTTTGGGTGATTCGTGGTGGCCATCTTCCCCAGCGTTGACGTAGTTTTCATGTTGTTCTATTGAGGTAGATTCATTCGTTGGTTGGACCGATTCGATGCCTGGCGAACTTTCACACACTGTGTAGTCTGCCTCTTTGGTACTCGCCTGATCGTCCTCATTCTTCGACGTCGCGATGAATATGACGTGAATAAACTTGTCGCTTAAGTCGATGTCCTTATCTAGGTAAATCACAGCGCAATCTTTTATTGAGGCTAAATTTAGGGCGGAGAATTTGGCCATGCCAAAGTCGCTCTTCCTGTAATCATAAATGGGATAATCGTTGTCGAATTTTCTAGACTGCTTTCCGATTTGACCCCTCACAAAAGGTTGCGTATTTTTTTTGTACCAATTGGAATGTTCAGGAATGTAATACAACTCTTTGTTAATTAAATATTCCATTTCTGCATCTTTGATGTTAAAGAAGCTACCCACAAATATTTTGCTTTTTTTTGTCTGTTCTCCCTGGTTGATACTGCTGGAAGGTTCCAGTGGGTTCTTTTCACCTTCTACATTCTTTGCATCTGACTGCTTCAATTCACGGTCTAAGTTTTTCAAGATGGCTATATCATCAGAGAGGTGTTCATCCACTATTCCGTCCCGAACGACTAAAGTGTAGAAAGCGTTTTTGCATTTAACAGAATTGACATAATTGATGTCCTCCTTTAATTTTTTCGGCGAAGTCCTTTTGTGCTCGTTCACCCCCCTGGGGGGGTTGTCTCCTGGCTTCTTATCATCACCGGTGGAGTCACTTAACTCAGCACTGTTTTGGTCACTCGCGTCTGCTTCGATGCAAATTTGTTCATTCGGATTTGCAAAATGTTTTCCATCGGGAGGAAATTCTGTCTGTTCGAGGTCATCCACATCTGCTTTATTCGTATAGGAATCATCTTGGGGAGCAGTTTTCCCACTGTGGAACGCTAGCTCATCGATTTTCATCTTAAAATTTTTTAGTTCTTCTTTCGAGATTTTCCTCAAACTTGTGCTGTTATCAAAATTCTGTTTATAGAACTTTTTTAGGTTTACTTGTTGCCTCCAGGCTTCCAATTTTCGGTTGGGAGTTGGAATTTCACCGAAAGCACTTTTTCCCGAATTTTGTAAAATTTTCCACATACAATATTTCGGATCATCAATATTTAGGTAAATTTTCGGGATGGGGATGCTGTTCGAATTTTCTATTATTTCCCCTTTCTCGTCATACTTCCACAAATTGATAAAATCTGTGTCTTCTAAAATGTTTTGGTTATATTTTTCTTTGAAGATTTGAATTTGGTCATCAAATAGGTTCTTCTTGTGAGTTAGACTCCGCGAAATTTCCTCGTCTATTGGGTCTTCATGGTTTTCCATCAATTGATTAGAGGTATCTTTCCGGGGCTCTAGCAAACTGGGGGCACCATTTTGAGCGCTGTTACTTGGTTTCACTTCTAATTCAGATTCGGGGATGGGCACAGAAATGTGGTGAGTAGCCGCTTTTTCATAATAAAGGGGGGGAGAGTTATTCCTTTTTGGGTAACTTCCCGCCTTATTTGAATTCTTTTCATTCCTTTGTCTTAGCTTCTCTTTTAGCTGGTCAAATTTGTTAATTAGATAATCCGTTTCTATGGCAGTTTTATCCCGTATCAGTATTTGCAGTGTGTGTAAATTTAGGAGAAAGTTCAAATTGGGAAAAAAATGTTGATTATAGGAGGAAGATATCAGCATTAAATCGTTAAAAAATATATTTCTTTTAACATCGGTCGGTGTGTTGAACGAATATATTTTGTTTCTTTCTTTTCCGAATGTGTCGATATTTCGGGCACTGAACCCACTAGTGGTTAACGCGTTAATAGGAGAATTATTGTAACACTTTGGGGAGTTAAAATTGGACGGCACAAATTTCGATTCGGTTGAAATGTCTTCTTCGTAGGTTACTAATTTGGGGATATAATATTTATATGTATAGAAGTCCCTTTTTAAATCAACTGGGTGTGTGTACATAAAATTATACATGTATGTTAAGTAGGGTTTTTTTTTTTTTTCGCATTCCTCCATTTCGATTAGTTCATTGTTTTTAATAAAATTGTTTACACTTCCTATGTCTTGATATTCCGTGTTGTGCATGTTGGACAAATAATCATACATTAAAGTCTTGTTGTATTTTTTCTCATCGTTCCCTAGGTACCAATCGTTCATGGTGATATTTGAGACAGTTCTTTCGCAGTTTTCTGTAATTTCTCCCTCGTCCTCTTCTTCTTTTTCCATTTCGGGGGTAAATTTTTCATACAATTCTTCATACTTTCGTAGGCGCCTTTTGAAGTGCCTACGTTTGTTTGTTTCCTCTTTTGGGGTAGATAGGTTAATAAAAAGGGGTTTGGAGAATTGCAGGATGGGGGTTCCTGTGCTTTTCGTAAGCCTCCTTCTCAATTTGGACACCTCTGTGTTTTTATAGCCCCCCTCGTGTGTTCCATTTTTCGTGTTTCGCTTGTTCTGTACATTTCGTATGCGAGTGACATTCGCTCCATTTTGACCACCTTCAGCTGTGTCATAGGAAGAACCAAGTTTAGTTCGTCTCGCAAAACTGCTGTCGAAATGGATGGCGTAATGTTTTCTTTTTACTTTGTTTTTGTTCCACTCGTGGCCTGTCCCATAGAGCGCGCTTCTTCTCTTTTTGGGGACGTTATTAAAAGTGCAGTTGTAATATTGGGGCTTTAGTTTTGTCCTTCCGTGTGACTTTGCCTCCGTCCTAAGACTAGCGGTATTAACGTGGGCATCATCAAAACATCTGCAATCCGCATAATGGAATAAGTTCGCGACATTACTAGTTAGCAGGAGGAGAACCAGAACGCAGCTTCCTATGATTGCTTTAGGCATAGTTCCCTTCCGGTATGTGAAAAAACTGCATTTTTATAAAAAAGGAAAGGGTAAAAAAATTCTACGTTAAGTGGTTACCCTTGCATGATGTTAACATTGTTCCTTTTTCTTTTGAAGTACACTAATTTGTGCAATAAAAGGGGGTAGGGAAAAAAAGATCAATTAACTTGACACATGTAGCTTCAATCATTTTGAGGCAAATACCGCATTTCATTTTATATACACAGATGAGGTGCCACTTTGAATAAGCAGGAATTGTAAGCATAACTGTATGCATGAAAAATCCCCCCCCTAGTGTTGCGACTTTTTCTCCCATTTTGTTTTCACAAGGGATTGAACATGCGTAGCTAGATAAATACTTGCTGCCAATTATATTAAGAAAAAAATTATTTTTATAAAAATTAGCAATTTTGCAGAAGGAAGGATATGCACGGCGAAAACGAAAAAGTGAGACCAACATAATTATCAACCAATTTACATTTTCCACTTTATAAAACAAACGTGACAGAGAGACGCTTAAAAAAAAAAAATAGTCTAACAAGTTAGCAGTTCTCCGTTTATGAAGTTGTTTCAAGTGATAGAAGCAAACCATTTGAGCGGTTCAAATGGAAGAAAGAGTTACGCGTAAATTTCTTCTAAATGGAAATTCAAATTTTGCAAATTGCAATTCGCATTGTTAAATAATTTAGAAAGAGGGGGGATGGATGAAATATATGTGCTTTTTTATGCAAAATTTTGGAAGTTCTCCTAACATGTATGCGCACAGCTTTGAAGTGTGGAAACGAAATAAGAGATGGTTTACTATTCAAATGAATACACACATTGGGAGGAAAGTATTCCAATGACGCTTTCGTAGTTTTTTTTTTTTTTTTTTTTGCATCATTGGGAGAAACGGCGAATACACCAATGAGAAGTCCCCATTTTAAAAGCCTTAATATCAACTTTAACCTTTTATGTGTGTGGAGAAAAGCGTACTTTTATGCACCGTTTTAAAGGACAGTTGAGTGGTCCTTTTACTTCTCTATAAGGTTGCTACAATTGTGATAAAATAAATGAAAGTCTACACGCGCATACACACCGGTTTTATTGTATATTGTTCTTCCTTTTATGTTCACGTCCATTCCTTCTTTATTTTTCAATTCATTCTGGGCAAGAAGAGGGGCGCAGGAACAATGTACGATGCCCCCGAAAATCAAATTAAAAGGATGGAAAATAAAAGGAATACAGTTCTTCATATCCTGCGAGGGGAGTGGTAGCTCTTGTTTGACTTGCGTACTCCATTACAAGCAACTTAATGTGATGGTACTTACAGGATATTACTTATTACTCTCAAAAAGGGAACATACGTAATTTGCTCACAGCAGAAAATTGCGCGTACATATACGAAAGAGGGAGCATAGCTAATCGTTCATCTGTAAAATGCTACACCATCAGCACAAACTGAAAGGATAATATAACATGGTTCGATAATTTTTAATATTTATGTTTTGTGAACCTTTAAAGGAGATTCCAATGTTGTAAATTCGGCCTCGTTATTCCAGCTAATTTTTTAAGTATTTTACAATTTCTGCCAAAACTCAATGACGAACCAGTTGCGAATACGTATATGCATATCTATACCATTTTTTCAAATGTGAATTTTTAAAAGGATAAATTCTTAAAAAGATTTTTTTCAAATTTTTCGCAAAAAGGGAGAAGAAATTTATCCTTTGTGAATAATTTCATACGATATAGTAAAGTTAAAACTACGCGTAAAATACAAAACATGTAGAGCACCTGCTGTGAAAAAGGAATGTGAAGCATGTTATGGATCCGGCAAGTAAAATTTACTTTATAAGCACGGATGGCTGAGTGGTCTAAAGCGTCAGACTCAAGATCTGATGAACGTAAGTTCGCATGGGTTCGAACCCCATTCCGTGCAAAAGAAGAAACTAAAATTTTACATCATATTTTAAATATTTATTATATTTAATCATATTTTTAATTTAATTCAGACGCTATGTAATTTCACAGCATGAAGTAAAATAAATAGCCATTATAAGGGAAGAATTATGCAGAAGACGATATTAAAAGTGTGACAGCATTTCTTTAAACGTGGCTTTGAAAAATTCTATGAATTCTCCCTTCTTATTACAGAACACTCGCTGAAACCTAGCTTTATTTAAAAGAAGCGCATAAATATACGATTCATGGCGTTTGAAGAAAAGTGTAGTAACCACATCCGTCAAGGGGGTCTGCAACAGAGAAAATGCTATGTTCCTCCCTCTATTTTTTATCCATCTCTATTCCGCATAATTTATGGAAAGAAATGGGCCATTAAAAATTGGAACAATACGTACACTTTTCAGTTGGATTGCGCGATCTACTTTATAATTCGCAAATGGGTATGAACAGCGATGGGACAGAAAACGCCTAGAAAAACTGATCTTAAAGCTTATTGCAGTAGTGTCTATTGGTTAAGGCAATTTCAGTGGGGGGCTTAAATTTTACCAAATCTTCTTTCGATTGAAACGCTATATTATTGTGTATGTAACACTTAATGCCTTATCCATTGGTGAAGAAACATCATCATGGTGTTTAAGCGGATGATCATGGACAAAGCGAAAGGGCATTCTCAGGCACATTACCTATAAGAAATAAAACTGAAAAAGTGTTAACGTATATTAATCTTCATGTTAGATAGGAGCTGTGTGCCATTTAATGATTTTGTTTCAGAAAAACACCATAAGAGAACGTTCGTTGCGATAAGGCTTATATACACAGTATATATACTTCAAAATGGAAGACGCCGCCTTTATTGACTCATCATCATTTCGTCGATGTTTGGGAACGTAAATATGCTTCCTTAAGGTTATAGTTCAATTAAAGGAGAGTTTTTTTTTTCGCCATTTCCCATATATTCAATTTCGTTGAATATTAGTAAAACCTATCAGTAATGCCTTCGAGGTAGGATAAATTAGCCGAAATAAGGAAAATGAAAGAAGGGGAAGAGGAACAAGAAGCCTATAGATAAAGAATTCTACTTCATAAATATGAGCGCACGGAAGAATTTAGAACAAATTCGCAAAGCCGAAAAATAAGAGAAGGAAAAAAAAAAAAAAGTCAGCGAAAAAAAATGCTATTCAAAATTTTTGAATTTGTTCCCTTTGCGTCAACCGGGAGTCGAACCCGGGTCACCTGCTTGGAAGGCAGGTATCATCGCCGTTAGACTATTGACGCGTTGATGTAAGACCTTTTCACATTTCCTATATTTCTTAAAATCTCATGATGAGCTCTTTCTCCCCTCTGCCCTCTTGTATGACAGTGCAGGCTCCGAATCAGAATCCGCGCAGAGTCAAGCGCTGCCTGGTTGACACCCTATAAATTAAAGATGTCATTGTTTTTAACGTTATATGCATAAATGGGAATATTTATTACAGTATGGTTGTTCTTGTCAATGCGATATTCTCTACATTCACGAGATTTCTCAGGATGAATTCCGAAAATTTGTTTTACCAAGATTTATACGCTTCACCGTCGCGCCAAATGCTGTAATACTACATTTCGTTCTGCATTGTTCGTAAAATAGAAAATGAGGAAAAGAAACTGACCAAGATGAGGAGGAAGTATGAACTTCACATTTAATAGTTAGCAATTCAACAAATATCCATTTTTTGCACGTCTATGATCATTTATATGTAATGATATTGAGCCAATTCCTTTTTATGCGTCCGTCCCCTGCGCCCTTGTTAAAGAACCATCATGTTAGCACCTTTACATGGTGATATAGCATTTATGTAGAAAAAGGGAAACGGGAAGGCAAAATTCTGGGGTGAATCCTTTATAACAGGAAAACGCATTAACAGTGATTCCGATTTGTTAATAACATAAAATTAAGCATCCCTTTATGGCATTCCCTATCCGTTATATCATCAAACATAAAGATAAATGCGCTTTTGCAGACACGTGCTAATGTAGAGGTCCAAATGTGCATACATGTTCGAATGTACACTTGCAAGCCTTTTATGTACAGAAAAACTTTCAATAAGGCATAAAGGAAAAAAGGACAAAATAATAGCTACAATAAGGAAGGTGAAATGAGGTGTTTATTGTTGATTTACCCCAAATTTGATTAACCTCCAAAAGTGTACGCGCTTTTTATGATTTGTTTTACGGTCTATGACTTTATAAAGTAATAAAATGATGAGGAGATAAGCAAGCATAAATATTGACAAAAACTTATTTTCTGAAGAATAAGCCACCTATCAAATGGAAGTTTTTTATGTGAACTGTGATCTTGTCTCTAATTAGATGCGCACATATTTAATTCAGTAGGGGTGATAGTGGTGGAGTGCTTCCCATTGTCTGCATCCATTAAGGCTGTAATATATCATTTTTTTGTTTTCAAATAGTGCGGAAAATGCCATCAATTGTAATGCGTTCATAATAAATGCTGGAAAAAAATTAACGCTTTGAAAAAGCTGTCTGCTATTTGTACATAGGCTTACAATCCTATATTCAAACCGATTAAATGATTAGCATAAAAAAAATATTTGATAAAAACTATTATCCTTTTTTTTTTTTTTTGATTATAATCTTCTCCTCTTCTATTTCGCAGAGGTTCAACGGATGGGATACAGAAAATGTAAAATCTGATCATATAGTATCTTTTCTTATAACACGCGCGTTCTTTAGTTTGTAGTTTCCCTTATGCACACATGAAAGGAAGGAGAACAGGAAAATTTTAAAATTTCTCCTTCTTCTGCTTAATTTTTTCCACTTAGATGTGCCAATGGAGGTAAGGAAACTGCCCATCTCCTCACACCTTGAAAGCATATATAGCGTATTTTCAGGTCCGTCATTTTGAAAATGATTAAGTGTTAAGTTACACAAAAACGTTGGCTACGTTTTTCATTTAAACTTAAACCTTTATTATGTAACATGAATACACAGACTTTACATATGGTGTTATATGGTGCCTATTTCAACAGATACTCGTATGTATGTGTGCATTTTTATCTTAAAAAATGGGAACCTTTTCGGTGTAATTTCTCAACTCTGTGTGTTTTGATATTGGTGATAATAACATTGGCATGTTGCCCATTAATTAGTGGCGTTGCAAGCGGGAGGGCCAGCAAGCTTGTGTCTGTTGCTTTTTTTTAAAATGGGAGCAACTTACAAATGACTGAACGGGAAGTAAGGTAAAATTTTGTTCCAATATATGCGTAAATTAAGAAGGGTAAATTATGCTAATATCCTTTGCTTTTTTGCAAATGCATTCCGATGGTACTTTTCTTTTCAGTATCATTTGTAAAAGTGAATGCGGCTGATGATAAGCGGCGGGATGGATAATCCATGGATTTAATTTAAAATAATTCATACCTCATCGATTGTACTTTGCGGATTGTAAAAATGAATGTAAGTTTTTCCACCATTCTTTATTGCCACATTATTTTGCCCTTATGTGCGTATATCGTAGAATACAACACATCACCATGCCTGCGTTAATTTTAAATTATGTTTTATGCTGATTTGGCTAGAGCAAGAGGGTACAAATATTTGTACAATGCGTAGGCACGAGTGGGGTTTTACTTGGCATATTGGGCACGCAGCATATACATTAAACTTAACGAAGGTTTTCCTGAAACTGTTATTTCTATGTTATTTAAGAAATCGTAAAGAATATATAAACAGGGTGAAAATGCGAATTCCTACTCGCGATTGCCATTTGCGCATTTATTGACATTCATTTTGTGGGGACGAAGCCGCAAAATTGGGAAAGTGGCACAAAAAAAGAGGATAGCTTTAACATGAAGATGCTGCGCAAATTTATAATATGCAAGCAGTAATACAGGAATTAACTGCAAGAGAAGCATATGGACATATCCTCGCGAAGATTATTTTGCGCCCCAAGTTTGGTAACCTCTTTGATACACTATATGGCTCTGCTGTAACGTATGCAAGGTATTTTTATACATATGTAAAATAAATGGGCTGTTGTTTTTTTTCTTTTTCGTTATACGTATATAACATTCCCCCATCGCCCAATTTTTTTTGGGACCATTTTCAGAAAACACTTTTTTAAATTAGCGTCATTTAATTTAATTTTTTTTTTTATATTTTTTCGTATATATTTTTTTCCCCCACTTGCGCATAAAATCTAAATTCTTGTTTTATGCTTATCGTAAAAAGTGTTAGCAAAACTCTGCAAAAGAAGGAAAAAGAAAAAAAGCTGTTTATTGGAAGTATAGAAAACGATTCTACTTTTTTATTGAAATAAATTATTCTTCAGATTCTCTCAAATTTTCACGAAATATTTAATTATCAGTCATCTAAGGCAAAATGGCAGCAGTTCCAGTGGCAGAATTAGCAGAATGTGAAAAGCAGGAGCTTTTATGTACTTACGCCGCGCTGATACTACATGAAGAGAATATGAGCATAACGAGTGAAAATATTGTGAAGCTTATAAAAAATTCAAACAACACAGTGTTGCCCTACTTACCAATGCTTTTCGAAAAAGCTTTAAAGGGAAAGGATATTGAGTAAGGAAAAAAGAGCAAATAAAAATGTACATCAGTATACGGAGCGTACGTATTTATGCTCCAAGTTGTGTACCAATGCTTGTATGCTGATTGTAAGGCAAATCCTGTATACACAATCCGTTGTGCAGTTTTCAAATTATGCCATGCGTTTCATACGTATTGGTTAACCCATGATTATGAATTAAGTGCAGCTATATAATGGTACACATTTATACATATGTGCATTTTGAGGAAACACCGTTATTGTGCATACTGCATAACTGCGGTCAGTAGTGGACCACCCTGCGTAAAATACCACGTTACGCTGTGTGTGAAACCCCACATCTGTTTATCATCACCAATGAGTTGAAATTTTTTTTTTTTTTTTTTTCTTTTTTTCTCCTTTTTTAGGGGCTTACTAAGCAATTTAAGCGTTGGTGGAGGTGCCCCTGCTGCAGCTGCACAAGCCGCAGCGGATAAGCCAAGTGACGATAAGAAGGAAGCTAAGAAGGAAGAGAAAGTAGAAGAGGAAGAAGAAGAAGATGACTTAGGATTTTCATTATTCGGCTAGATTTGTTGCAAACGGGAAAAGAAATGATACACACGAAATGTGTTGTACATTCAAATGTAAGAGGACAAATTGAAAAGAAAAGAAAAAAAAAAGAAAAGTACCTAACCTATGCCTATTTTAACGAATTATTGAAATGTTTTCATTAATTTGTTGAAGAAGAATTCTCATTTTCTAATTTAAGCGAAACGTTTAGCTTTTACATAGAACTTTTTTCTCTCACCTTTTTTTTTTTTTTCTTTTATTTTTCCATATTTTAAAAAAAAAAAAAAAAAAAAAGAATTTTCATTAAAACTGTTTAAGAAGGGAAAACCTTCTATTAAGCATATAAATAAAACGTTACTTTTCTCTTTTAACAACAGTGCAAAGTATGTGGTTGGTAACGAGGTTTTTGCAAAAGGAGGGGTGGTAAGCCCTGTTAAGTAATGTTGAATCCGAAATTGTATACCCATTTGACTTTTTGGGAACGTTTCTATTTTATCTAAAAGATGGGTTAAGAAAATCGATGCTTCCATGTACGAATCGGATAGCGCTTGTGTTAAGGTCTTTTTCTTTAAATGTTCCCTTTTTTGTGTTGTGCGGATGGGATAATATAATGAGGTTCTTAATGCCTCTATAAGTTATGTTCAAAATAGTTTGGCTATTACAAGCCGCTACGATATTAGTGCAAGCGCGGGCGCTCCGCTCTTAGCATAACAGTATGATTTTATGACATATTAGTACTATTTCGCAAAATGGCTTTAATGAATGAAAGTTGATGTGGATAACCCCGTCATTGTTAAGCAGTAATTCAATTGTCCTTTGGATTTTAAAATCCGTTTGAAGTTCATGCATCCATCGCAAGAGTGGGGGGTGCGGCACTTTGTATGTTAACGGCAGAACTACGACTTGACTAATTACTTAACCATCGTAGGATACCATCTTTTTTAGTGGTTTAACTTCAAAAGTTCCAAATAATGGAATGATCCAAAGAAATAGATAGCTGAAAAAAGGCTGTTATTTTAAAGGTATGAATGTGGACAAATCGTGGAAATGGACGAACACACTGAGAGGTAGGATAGCGCGCCGTGTACTTTACAAGAGCAATATTTCTCCTCCTGTATGATGCAATCACTCTGACACCATTTTTGCTTCCCATAAAAAGAATAGCCTACACCAATTTTCGATCTTTTTAAAATACTACACATTTGAAAAAGGCGAGAGTGGAAAATATAATCATACAGTAAAGGATAACACTTACAAATGACATGCCACAAGGTTGGAGCAGCTCATTTTTGCTATTTAGCGTATTAGAAGGGACAAATTGTAATTTCTCATTCGGGGGAGGATGGTGTATGAACGTGTTCATCCTAAAACGTTAGGAACAACATTCAAAGGAGCGCAGAAAAAAGGAAAACAGAAAAAACTGACGGGGAGTGTTGCCAATCGAAGTGACGCGCGAAAGCGTTTGTTGACACGTATACATACACACAGGATTAGTGCATATTTTAAAAAAAAATTAGACTAACACTCAAAAGGGTGTGCCCATATGGTTACGCATGTACGACATGGTACACACCAATGTACACTTGGAAGTTCGAATTTAACAGGACGTAAACATATGCATAAGAAGCATTATCATGAAGTTGCAAAATGATGGTGCCTTCGCTTAAAATGGAGCGAACACCATTATTTGAGGCCGCTATGAATTACACTTCTATCAGCGATTTCGACGTCTTCAATTCTGCCGCATTTTAAGCTTTCTCATGAAGAATGTCTTTACCCTTAGGATGCCCTAGGAATGGTAAATTTTGCAACAGGTTAAAAAGGTCTCCAACAAGAGAATGGCCATTTGTTCATTCTTCTCAAAATTTATTTTCAAAAAAAAATCATACATCTTATTTAATGTTAATTTCTTTAAGTTTTATAAATGGACACGTTTTTTTATAAATATATGTGGAGAATTTAAGAACTGAGAAATGGGTGATATAAGCTGTTTTAATGCCTATATGTATATTTTTTTGTTGAGTCTCGAAGTCTCTCATTTTTTTTTTTTGGGAATAATTATCAACAATTATGGACAGTTAACAACAATTTTTACTAAAAATTTCGCTTTTTTACGTTATCAATATGCTCAAAACTCTGTTCACATTTTTTACGTGTCGATGCGACTTATTTTATAATTAAGGTTAAGAGAATTGTGACAAATGCTCCATCGGTCATTTCAAATCATGTCATAATAGTAGTACACATCGTCGTAGTAGCCGTAGCTGGGAGGGGCATAGACGTAATGATAATAAACATTTTCATAATATCCATCAGCGTAAGGTTGAAAATAATAGTCTACATAGTCTTCTTCATTCTCTCCGTCCTCTTTAGCCTCTCTTTTCCTTTTAGCCTTTCCTTTCTTTTTAGCCTTTTCCGCCTCTTTAGCCTTTTCCGCCTCTTTAGCCTTTTCCGCCTCTTTAGCCTCTTCTGCTGCTTTAGCCTCTTCTGCTGTTTAGCTTCTTCTGCCGCTTTAGCCTTTCGTTCTTCTAGTTTTTTGAACATTTCAGTACGATAATATCTTCTAGTATCAATGTATTCTTTTCGTTTCATGTTCAAGTACTCTCGTATTGTTTTGGGTCCAAAATTCCACTGCTTTTCAAACTTATACATATCTTTCCACTTCTTCCATTTCCTCTTTTGTTGTTTCTTATGTATGCGCTTGAGATTTTTATAATACTTTGATTTCATTTTACTCGATCGCTTCTTTTTCTTTAATTTATCCTTTTCATATTTGACACTTAAAGCTTCCATTTTAGTTTCCAAACGCCTTTTGTCTATGTTGCAGTATGGACCTACACCAGGGAAAGCAACGCCCTTTGGTTTTTTGGCTAGTTTGGCCTCGAGTTGTTTTTTTTTTTTCCCATTTTTTCTCCAATTCGTTTTCTTCTTTTCGGATTTTTAGATCCACTACTTCTAACTTTTTTTTCATCATATTAGCGTCCTCTTTCATTTTGCGATTCACTTCTTCCAGGAATTTTAATAGGGGTTCCCTTGCCTCGTGCTTCCTGTTCAGTCTGTGGCAGCGCTTCCTCTGCAGAAGGTTAAGAGTAGGTTTGTATGTGTGCATTTTTGCTGCACTTTTTCCGCGTTTGTCATGCATTTTAGCGTGCACTTATTATGCACATCCATTTGCTCACTTTGCATCGCATTCGCTATCAGGAGAACGAATGCGACGCGCAGAGAGCAACCGATTTTGCTATTTCAAACTTACGCCTAATCGCAACAAAAGAACGATGACCATAACCACTTGAAAGAAACTCAACATTTTTTTGAGGTTGTCCACTTCCTTCGCTTCATTTTCGTCTGGTTTGGGGTCTTGATCGATTTCTGATTCCTTCGTAAGAAAATCTTCCCCATCATTATCAACATCGTCCTGTGTCTCATCACACGGAGGACTTTCGTAAAATGTGCTACGAATTATGGGGGGGGAGGGGTAGTAAGTTTCGTACACATAATGCGGCTCATGAAAGGGATGGAGTGGATTCGTGAACGTTTACCACTGAGTACAGGGTGTACGGGGAGTCTCTGTTATAAGCCATTTTTTATATTATTTAAATTATTTGAAGATTTATGCAAAAATTAAACAGTAAATTAATTTCTACTTTTTTTAATAAAAATTATTAGTAAAACTCTTTTTTTTTTTTGTAATTGTCTGAAAAATGTTTACCATGAGAATATTACCAAAAAAAGAGAAATGAAAAACATACGAATGTAAAATTGTCAATAGGAGAACATTCGGGAAGAATGGTTTGTGTAAAACTGTTACAGCGAATTTATTAATACGAAAATTTGAACACAAAAATTGCAAAATGAGAAACACACAGATCAAAATGTCTTTTCCTTATACAATGTTAAAGCACACGCAGGAAGCTGCACATACAATGTATTGATAGAATAATATGTCCATTTATTACCATGGGTACGAAAATAATTGCGCGTACATATGGTTGTGTAAAAAATGTCATAAACAAAGACAGGTTATATTCGCTAAAAAATTCATTGAAAAGTGTGAATATTTGACAAAGTGCAAAATAAATAAAAGAATAATGAATAAATAAATATCGCTATAATCAGAAAACATAATTTTAGCTAAAAAAAATGGAATAATTCACTTGCAGTTCGAATTCTTTTAGAATTCATTCATGCATAGCAAATATGGACCAATGCGGGTATAAAAAATTTATATAATTTATGTGCACCCATCGCAATACGCTCATATTAAGAAAACATTTAAAATGTAATATAAATTAATAATGGTATAAAAAACGGGCAAAAAGAGAGAGAAATATAAACTGATAACCTTTTGGAATTTTTCTCTTCCTTTTATTTTCCATTAAATATTAAAAATTTTTAGTTAATTTATAAATTTGAATTTTTCCTTTTTATTGTATTTAGTCAAAATATACTATTTTCATTTTAGAACAAAATTAGGTTTGGTCCCTTTAAAAATGGTTCTTAATTCTTCAAAGCGAAAACTGCTTAATAAAGTTTACTTCCTTATCGGGAAAATAATTTTTTTTTGGACTTTCTCTACCTTTTTCTCTTAAAAAAGATGGACAAAGGTAAAATAATACGAAAGAGGAGTGTGCGAATTCTGCTCTAAAAGCTTCGAGATCGAAATTGTTAGTAATAATTTTGAGCTTTGTGTCCTGATGTGCTTAGAGAAAAAAAAAAAAGAAAAAAAAGAAAAATATTATCTTAACTGTTGTACAACTTACTCATCTTTGCAGTTTAATGTAAAAAGTGGAAAATAAAACATCGGAGAATTGTTTAATTTATTTTTTTTTTTAATTTATTTCCTTAAAATGGAGTATCTATATGCCCTACATGGTAATGGCTCAACATGAATGGGTAAGTTTCAACTGAGGTAAATGTCAAGGGGTTAGACCCTATTTCTAGCTGAAAAAAAATTAGTTTAGCATAGACACAAATTAAGGCAAAAGAAAAAAAAATTGTCATCCTTATTATTTGTATGCTTAGCTCTGCAAACAAGAATGTATATTATAACAACTTGAACCCGAAATGAGAGGGAAAAATTGCCCGAAGAAATGGTGCACTTAGTGGCTATATAAAATTGGCTTTTTCTTTTACAGCAGTTAAAAAGTACATTTGGAGAAAAAAATAATTTTCTTAGAATGGGTAAGGTTTACGCTAGAATATGTATATATACATGTATATACCTGTATATATGTATGCTTAGCAGATGTGGGCGTTTAATTCGAGTCTACCCTAATGAACTAGTATGCGACAAAATGATTCGTTTCAATTTCTTTCCAGGGACCTTAAGCGCTCATTTATGCCATTCGATGAATGATTTCCTTTCATCGTTACGCAACTGCATAAATTGTCATGGTGTGCGAAAATATTTGTGAATGGAATTTTTACAGTGGGAATAAATAGAACTGCATAGTAGTGTAATGATATTTAATGAACATAATGAATTTTCGTTTCGCCAGTTTTCTTAAATATGATTTGCTTCTGTTTATCACATTGTATCACTGACACGTTTGAAGTAAAAAGCGAATGGGAGTTTCCTTTGGGATTAAAAAGCATTGTGCTGCTCCAACTGCAACTAGAACTCGTTAAGTTACGTTAGCGAAAGATAAACATTCAAGGGTTAACCCCTGCGGGCATGGCTTCCCGTCTCTGTCAAGAGGTGTTTTGACTCGTTCGATTGTTCTTACATTTTTAAGTTCAAAATTTGCTTCCTTATAGGGTACATATAGCAAAGAAAGGAGCAAAAAATAGCAAATGGTGCTATGACCGTGCTTGTATGAATACATAGCCATATATGTTTGTTTGGCCAACCAAATGTGTCATTAAATCCGATGAGGTGTGGTAGTTTTTCCTTCATATAGGAGGTTTCCTCCAAAAAAAACTCGCGGGAGAATTTTTATCACAGGTGTTAATTTTTTTGTCAATTTTTAAATACCTTTTTATCTGTTTATTTATATGATGATCCTGTTGAAGCCGCTTTGAATTGGTTTTTATCTTACAAAATTCAAAGTGGTTATATGTTGTTGAAAGCATTATTACAGAGTTTTTATAAACAAAACGAAGCGCGGATAATTGATGTGCATCACACGTATATGTACAACATCCCTTTCATGTGTCATTTTCCAATTTGGACAACGAGGTATAAAAAATGCTGTGGCGGCTAAAATGGCGCTGTGATTTTTTCATTTCCCCATCGTTATGCGCTATAGAGCCAATTGCTACATTTCCATCCCTCTTAAAATGTTGTAACTTATCGTTTTTTCGCGAATGTTTAATAAAAAAAAGGCATAGTAACGCTGCCTCGTAATGAAATGCGTTTTTGTGACTGTAAAGGAACAACATTACACGAACGTGGACGATGTTATTTATAAAAGGAGATGGACAAAATGAAAGAAATATACCATAAAAGGAGAGAAAGTTATCTTTGTGCGTTCCTATCAAATGGTGCAAAATGGTACAAATCAAGGTGCTTATGTAGCCATTTTTTAATACCGCAGTTAGCGGCAAAATGATATGAAAGGTGTGTACATGTACTCAATGCGAACTTACGCTCCTTGGTACGTACGAATTAGCGGATCGGTTGGTGATCCAGAATAAGTCCACAGATCGTGGGACAGAATAAAGCTTCAATACGAATATGTGGCATCTTTATTGGGTTACCTTAATATGGCAAACAAATTAGGGGGATATAAGAACACAGCATGGGAAAATATTTGAATATATGGTTATACAAAAGAATGATGCGGAACTGCTGTCCCCAAAACATCTTTTCGCATAAAAAATTAGAATGAAAACGAAATAAACATTATAATTATTCAGATAAATGCATAGTTATTATGCAATCGTCAGAACCAATCATCAAATACTTTCTCCAATTTGAGCGACATTACCATGAAGCCAATTCAGTTATGTGTGCTACTCAACTGGGGCAATTTTGTAACGTTTTTCCCTTTAGTATAAACAGGTCATAAAAGTCAACTTCAATGGGTCAATCTTTTTATTTCCCACAAATGATTAATACACAATTGTCGGTCGTTCACTCGTGCGCTATTTAGAAGAAGATAAACGATGACGTGCTTGGTAAAAATTGACAATGCAATTACGAAACTGAGCGAACACTAAAATTGTTGAGCGTACAAATGTTCATCTATGCAGTAGTCAACCAATACGAACATTTAGGTGGCACATATATGTATGACATTAGGAACAATCCACTGTTTAAGACAAAAATATAATCATAAAACGTCAACGAACAGTATATTTACTTTGTCGTACAATATGGTCAGCTATTACACTAAACTTTAATCTAATGTTAAGGAAACAAAAGAAATTAACAAAACGAGTTAGATTCTACTACATGTGTGGGACAGTATTATATATTTATGCTACTCTCTGTGGGGATAAAATGCAGAAGATTCGTGTGGAATTACTTATTATATGGCTCATACATTAAATAAATTAATAGAAAAAAGTGTTAATAACGTTAACGAAGGGACACTGTCAAATATCTGCGTAGTCTTTATATTTCATTGCGTATTTTTAGTTTCTCCTGGTGATATATGAGCATTGGTGTGTGTATGTGGAGGGGGCGGTATACCTCTTTTATGATAAGGCAAAAAAAGTATCCACAATAATATATGTGCTATTTTAACCAAAGTTACTCTGCACAATGTCAAAGCAAACGTGTAAAGAAAAATGATACAGTTGAATATATTCCATATTTCATATATACATAGAGAATATGCGTATATGGAGAGGAATTCATTTAAAAAAAGGGAGCCTCTTCCACGATAAGAATGGTATAATTTTTAAGAAAAGCGAAGAAAAAAAAAAAAAAAAAAAAATGAAATGGCATGGGAGAAAAATAACATACAATTCGCACAATTAATCCATTTTATTAAAAAATATTCCGCGCGAAATATATGTATATATGATTATTGTGCATGTAAAATACGCATAATAAATGGGATCATTATTACGCAAATTAAGGCAATGTCTTTAGTTCCTTACTCTTGCTCCAACGGCTTAATCTCTAATGTTCAAGGGTTCCTCGTCTACACTTTGACATTAATCTTGTTCTTTTTTAAGAATTACCAATACTGTAATAACCAGAATCCATTGATACATTATCATGTTGGCGCCGATGCAGACGACGGTGATCTTCATATAACTTTTAATCAAAAAAAAAAAAAGAGGGTTTTATTATGAATGAGTTAGGGAGTTAATGTGCAGAGGAAAATTATAAATTAATATAATAATTTTTTATTTGTAATTTGTTCTTACTAATTTACCAAAGAATATGACAACGGCTACTAATGCTATATAAATCAGAACACAGAAAGTAAGCGCAGTGTAATACACTCCCCATTCACGTTCCCAGTCATTAATCATGCTCCATTCCTCCGTGACATTCAGTAAGGTCGAGGATTGGGTTGGAAAATTAGTCAACTGCTCCTCAGTCATTTCTAATGGGGTGTTTCTGTTTGATCTTTGTAATTTTTTGTGCTTTATATATAATTGAATACAATCTCAATGAATTCTG